CTACTGTTTTGATCTATCATTATTGGTTTCACTATGTTTGACGATGAGAATAAAAATAATTATACAAAAGATAGAACTGACATTCTGGAGACTGCGAGTTCATTTATCGGTGCAGAAGATGTTTGCATTCAGAAGGAAGAACGCAAGAAAGTATTTGATCAAAATCTTACACATTCTGCACGACAGACAAGTGCAATTCTGAGAGTAATTGTTGCGATCTTAGGTATTCTCAAAGTGAGCAAAAAAGAAAGACTGACTCGACAAGTACACGTACTGCAAGATAAGAGCTGCAAAGACTAGACACTTTTTCTCGCAAAAACAACGAATATCAATCACTTTTACTTTACTAATTATGCCCATCAATGCAATTAAGTATATTAGTAAGAATGACAGATATGCCATAGCACAAAGATGCCCGCAAAAGTAAATTTTACAGAATGACAGGTATTAATTAGTAAAAGTAAAAGCACTGAAATGAAAGTGGTAAAATGCTCTGATGGCTTACAAGTTGTAATGGAATGGACTAATGACTACTAGCTTTAGTATTAATATTCGAGAAATTAAGAATATGGCAAAGAAAAGTGTACTAAATATAAAAGAATAATTTAGTGATAGAATTACAATAATACGTCAAGTCAGATGCAGGACATGCAGCTTTCATCGATAGACAAACTCTAGTAGTCATTACAAATGCAATTCTCAACTATCATCAGATTTCTTCGGCTCACTTATGTGCGTCAATCAAGTGGTTATGGCACTACTTCAGTAACGTAGGTCAAAAAGTTGAGTAGAATATAAATGGATCAAATTTTCAAAAAATTTCTGCAAAACACTTTCTTACAAAAGCTTTCAAAGGATCAGAAGATTAAGCAGAAATTACGCGCCCAAACTTTCAATTGTATGTCAGCTTTCTGGACCTCAACTTTTCACAACAACTATTCATGCAAAAGTACATTAAAAACAGTTCAAACTTGAAAAATATGTAAATTCCCAGCCCATTCACAACTACAAGAGCTTACCTAAATTAAAACTCTGAATCAGACTGAAAAATTTGTCTTACCTTACTTATGAATTTAAGATAAAAAATTTTTGCAACATGTTCAGTGTGCTTGATAAATATTCCTTACACACTGGTAAATACATCGCTTTAATGGACGCTTCCACAACTAATTGTTACAATATTCTTCACAGTCTTCTGTGAGAAATATTGTGACAGTAAGTTGTAAATGGCATCTTCTGAGTGTTTGAAACTTTTGAATGACTCAAACTGATTATAGAATACGAAAATGTTCAATTATTTGATTTGTTAAATTAAAAATTATTCTGCTTAATGAAATAAAAATGATCATCAAAAATATGTTCAAAACAGCTACCCATCACACTTATCTCGCCAGAGTTTAACTTTAAAAATAAATACCTTGCACGACCTAACCTACTTTACATGCCACGTATTCAAAAGTCCTTCATCTTATCTAACACATTTTCTGCTCACCTACTGATCTTATTATAATATTAACCAAAATGTGCTACTCAATTTGATAACTAATTTTTAACTACGTATGAACATAAAAGTATAAGCAGCAATCAAAAAATTGAATTAATCTTTAAATTAAATTGAAGTAAAGCTCAACATCTGAAACATCGAGCAGCTGTTTAGCTTTTCAAGCATAGTAAACTTGTTTTGATTATGATTCTACCTATATCTTACTTGCAAATCGAAACTTGCGTTCAAAACAAAGCCAAAGAAGATATTTACATGTGTTACATTGAAAACACGTATTTTCACGCAAAGTTAACACTTCAAAACACAATGGAGACTTTATTCATTAGATCACTGGTATAAAAATGAGTTCTATTTGTTGACAGCAAAGAAAACATTAAATAACATATCATCACTCAATTATTTGTGTCATCGATGAAATTCAAACTTGGATGGAACGAATTCAATTTCTAAACTATTTACAAACATTCATTTTTTTGGAATTATTACGCCAAAAATGATATGAACTGCACGAAGAATGATTTTCAATACGCAGTTCATATTGCTTTTTGTACAGTTTATTTGTATATTTAGCAGACAAAAACAATTTTTTCAAATTAAAAAGCCCTTTATATCAATGAAAATTCTGATTCTAAATGATTATTTGATGCACAATGAAGCATACTTTTATTGCTGTTTGAAAATCAGATTCTAAATCAAACAAATCAACATTATAATTTAGAAGGGCGCAATTTAAAACTTGTGCATTTTTCTTCCTAAATTATGAATCATAGCACAAATTATAGTTCTTGTTTTCACTAATCACAAAAATAATTTGAAAACTATTAAAATATTTAAAAATCTCGGTGAAATATAAATTTGGTGAACTATAAATTTCTGCCCAGCGATATTAACCAGTGTTCGGAAATTTAGTCTTCTCAGCGAATTAGCAATTAACAAGAATCAGCTCAATGAAGATCTCAGATCATATAACACTGCTCATAATCCACTTTCAGGAGAGCATTTTTTCTTATCTAGTAGTAAGGGTTCTGTATACGGTGGTGGATTTGTACGTAACGTTACGAATCGCTGCCAAAGAGTCGCAATTAACTCACATGTGACGATATCACCGGAATTGTACTGTACTAAACGCAGAAGAAACAAGCCATCAGGTCGTAGTTTCTCTGCCAAAAATTCATCGAGTAATTCACGTCGACGTGAACTGTGAATACTTACAGGATCGATCTGCAAGACAAGAAATTTTGTAAAATTTTACTGATTGAATTTGGATTCGTAAATTTGTTTATTACTTACAGTAATGCCCATAGCCATCAAAACTAATAGGTAACAAGGTGAATAAATTTTTGAATCCTTGAAAAATATCAAAATATCGTTCCACTCGAATCAGTAGTAATTACTCTATCTGCAGAAAAATTGATGAAAGGAATTTATATGAACTTCAAAAAGTTAAAGTGCGAACTTTTTCAAGGTAACTGCTGACCATTTGTCGACCACCAACATTCGTTGCACTGATTATTAACCATTGTATCAGACTTAGAACACTGAAGAACTTTGATCAAGTTAACTTGTTTAGCAAATTGTTGCTTACTACTAACTAAGGCACGGGCTCAGAATGAATTTCCAACTTACTGCCAAGTATTTTTCTCTCAATGTGACTCTTAAGTTAGAAAGCATAAGTTAACTCTCTGCTCAAAGCCAAAAAGGAACAGTCGAGAAAAACTTCAGCAATTATAACATATTCATTCATTTCCAATTAAAGTTACTTCGTCAATAATAACTTATGCTTTTTTCATCAATGTAAGGTGTAAGCGATGGATGAGATGTACTAGGGAGTGAGCAGTAGCAAGAAGAGCTTAATAGCAAAACAGTGCTACAGAAAGTCATCAAAAATAGAAAATAGAAAATATGAGAAAACCGATCATTTGGTGGATTATCATCATGGCAGAAGTAATCATTTTCAGTATTCACTGAGGAACTGATTATCAATCCAACCTGAATGCTGACATGAAGAGCAGCCAAAACCATAGAAACAAAAATATTTTCTCGTTAAACATGTTGATCATTAATACGCACTGTACGGTGTGTCGATGAAGATTGCCAAGAACACGTACCTAGAAGGAATCCCTTTTTGGATGGTCGATGGAAGAATATGGAAGTACTAAGGACAATAAAGGACAATCAAGTAGATAAACAAATAAGTCAAAAAGAAAATTACATTTACAAAATTTAATATTTGTGCACAGATGACACTGAGGTCGCTAAATTTCGTAATTTTCCCGTAAACTTACAGCAAAATCACAAAGTGTTATACGTGGAAAATTGCCAGTTTGCGGCCATTCGACACCATGAGTAAGGTCACCAAAGACCTGAGCACCCCACCAGATACTATCTACTCCGAGGAAATTTTTGATTATCCAAAATTGGAACAATGCATTTAAGGCATATAATAATTTTGTAAGCTGCAAAAATAACGCTTAAAAGTAAACAAGTAGATGAACTTAAAAACAGCAATTGAAAACGGTATTTTAATATATCACGTTTATGAAGTGAAAATTATGGTATTTTCAAGTGCAAGCTGAAGCAAAATTCTTTTCGTTATTTTACTCTACATAATTACAACTAATTTTAGTACAGTTAATAAACTCTATGCAGTAATTCTGTTTGATGCAAATTATTTTCGTAAACGGATCTTGCTTATATGCCTATTACTAATTCTTAAATTTATAGCAGTATTCATCAGAAAAAAGAGTTTTCGGCGAAAGTTATTATCAAACAAAATCAGTAATTGATATAGTTTATGAGTGAGCTTCGGAGAATCAGAAGTTTTGCAGTTAGTAAAGTCTGACCAAATATGATGCAACCAAAAAACGTCCTGACGTTATGTCATACGTCCTGCCACGTAATGAAGCCCGTATATCACGCTCATATGCTAGGAATGATGCAATTTTTTCCATATTTTTTGTCCGATCACTAACAGCCATGTTTGAGCGCATACTACATGTATCACAGATGACCGCGACTTTTATACCTGCAGTTTTAGTTCCACAAGATTTTCTAAAGTATAATTTAATTTACACCAGTATAGTTAGGTGTCAAGTATTTTGCTATATCTTCAAAGCTAAGAAAAATTTCAGTTTTGAAAAGCAATATTATTGAAATAATTTTTTATGATTGCAAGAAAAAATTCAATCATATTTTTTTCAAATACAGCCAAATTATCGTTTAAAAACTTTAGGATCAGTGAAAATTTTTAATGTAAATATTAAAAGACAAATTATATCTAAACTGCCTTCAGAAATCAATCACAAGCTGATTATCACAGTCATGAGAAAACCCTCAAGTCCTTGAAAATTACTTCTGAAAATATTTGCTTATCCATTTGCATGCTATGCTATATTTGCATTCAAATATGCTGCTATTAAATTTGCTTTCAAAAAGATCAGCACCTGTGGCAGTATAAAGCGATCGCCAAATGATTGCAGGCAGGTAAAAAAGTATGGCCTGCAGGGCAAGAACCAGTGGTACCCACTGGTAATAACCTGAAATTGGAAAAAAAGAGAGCATAAGTCTTATTGACTTTTTTAGCTTAATCAGCTATTTTTTTATTTTTTGTAATTTTGACAAATTTAATTTCTTATTTTGAAAAGAAAATAAAAAAGGGAAAATGATGCAGTGGAAGAGTTTGGAAAATAGAAGAATGAAAAATTCAAACAAATGAATGATTTTTCTCGTCGGAAACAGAATGAATATCTACCCATCTATCCATCTATCTATCCATACATCTATCTAATCTATCTATCTACAGATGTTAATTTATTGTATTTTTTAGAAAGTTCAAAGAGAAAAGTTTACGCTTTGATTCTTCTTTACTAATATGCTTGATATCTTCGATTCTATTTTACTTTATGGTTTGTTATATGCTCGTTGAATAGCTATCAATTCTATCCATTACTGAAGTTTCATTTGAAATGTTCTCTTTAGCATTCCTTAATCAATATTTTTGGAATTTAATATTGATTTGAACAAGACTTAAACTGAAATTACTTGACCTTGATCCATCCAAATGTTGTGTACTTGATAATTAAAGACTTATTCGGTAAGAAAATTTAAATGTAACTCAGTTAACTAATTTCTCACCGATCCAAGTTTAATCACTTACGTACGCACTATGCGATAAACTCACTTGCAAATACTCAATTTCTGCTTCCTTGCATAGAAAATAGAAAATTAAATCTTTCCCAACGCAATCTGCTTATGTCGAAAATGCTACTGTTACGAAGGAAAAAGTGCAGTGAATAAATGACATATTCTTTCTGACAAATTTGCATTTTAAAAAACGAAATTTACGCTTTGCAAATTTCTGTCTTTTTAATAATTTTTTCCAATTACTTTAAAAGCAATGTTGCGCACCAATCAATCGATCCTCACGATGAGTAATATTTTTCGGTATGGGAATTACATGTTCTGCGATATCCCAGTAATTGTCTGGCACAGTATCAGTGAACGGTACAAAATAAGTGTTTTGTACGTAGCAGTAATCTAGCGCATACTCCATCCACCATCCTAAATTTAAGAAAAAAGTTTGCTTGATTGATGTATCATTTCTGCTATGAAAATAAATCAATCAAGCAAACAACTGTAACAATCTGCAACACAATGTCACGAGATTTTATCAGATTGTAATTTTATGTATGCAAATTGTTGCGATTTGTTAATAAGTATAAGGGATGAATAAGCAATGACAGCAAATATAACTTATGCATTTCAGTAGTGTAATGATAATCAGAAAGTTATAATTTCAGCATATTACCATTCTGATGCACACAAGAAGGGCTACATGCAAATACTCCTATACCAAATTGCTTTTTGCATGAATGACCTTTTTTCTTTTATTTCGTCCGTCTAATAGAGTTCAATAAAATATAAAATAGTACAATATCTAAAATGTATTAATTTTGTTCACACAGGAAACTGTAACAATAATAGCTTTCAAAATGCAAAATGAATATTTGCTGGTAAAGTATAAATACCTCGATAATAGGCTGGAAACCAACACTGTATCGGAGAGCCAACAAAACTAAAAATATCCGCAAGAATCAGAAAGTGTAAGCACATAGCTTCATTTGTTACCTAATCGACTTTGCATTACTTCTTCAGAAGTACTCAATTTTAGTAGAAATTATGGAAAACTTGTATATTTTTCCAACAACTATTCCCTTTCATACTGTTCACCTTAATGCTTTTAATATACTGAAAACTGATCTGCAAACAACAACAACAAAGATTTACTTTTCAACAGCTTTTTCTGTTGCACTGAGGAATAGAAAATTTCTGCTGGAAAATTATTAAGAAAAACTTGACAATAAATTTGAAAATGGAAAAGTGCTTAATGCCTAAAATCAAACCACAATATTTATTTATTTATATTATTTTTCTTAAATGCTTACGAATTTGTTTCGTCTTCTTACTTTTTAAACTTTCGGACGAAAATTTCGTTCAAATCGAAATATCTCATATAGTTCAGATCTCAGAGATCAATAGCTACATTACAGATGTGAATCGTATGAAAGGTGATGGATGAATCAGAAGAAATGAAGTGTAAATGATAAAGTTTTCGGCGAATGAATCATTCAGATCTTTGCTGTGCTATATGCAAATGTTCTGCACAAAACAAAATTCTCACAGAAACACAAGCACAGCACTTCAAAAGAAGATAAGATACAAACAATAGCATATGAATGATAAGAAAAAAGAAAAAAGAAAAAAGTGCTTGATTTGGGCTAATTTTTCGCTCTGAATAAACAACAATCTGCGAAAATCTTAGCTAATCATGAGATTCTTATCATGAATAGAAGAAGACAAAGTGAAAGTATTAGAGAGTAACGTCCTGCAGCCTCACGCAACCACTCTATTGAGTAGTTTTCAGAGTGAATTTTTCCTTTACGGCGCGAAAATTCAAGAAATTTGTATTGATAAGTGATACCAGAGAAGCAACAGTCTTTTAAGCAGAAAAATAGCTTCAGCATTGTGGCTCAAATTTTTTGAACTGATTTCCTAGCCGATGCGAAGGATTTGAAGAGACAAAAGTCTGAGAAACTACAGGCAAAAAAAGACATATCTGACTGAAAGATTATAGGAAATAAAATTTATTTTATTTTAAGTTGTGAAGTAAATTAATTACAGTTCATTCAAGATAAAGTTTTTCAAGATATATCAGACCTCCATCCCGAGATGAAAGCTGACATAACAACCAAAATAGTAGTCGAATAACAATAACTCATTCGATCACAGGTATCGCCATCAGGCAACGGTGTGACCGCCCGAAGCAAACCTCGAACTATGTCCATGAAGTTCAAGTGGCGCAAATCTTAAAATGCCTAAAAATTTGATGTGCAAAAGTCAAGTGGAACATTAAAGATTGAAACTGTATGAACGTGAAGGAACTGACGTAAACGTCATTTGCCTTTGCAATTAAGAAAAATGGACAAAACAAGGAAGTTAATTAGTTATAAGAGAGAGAAGAGTTATGATAGTCTTACTTTCACTAATATGAAAAGCGATGTCCTTTTCAACAATTGCATGAATTGAAAAATTTGCAAAATATGAAGTGCTTTATATTTTGTAAATAGTTTATGCAAACTGAGTGATAGAGCAAGATTCAAATTACTATTCTACTGTTACACGATCTGAGCAACGCATTTTCGGAACTTGAAAACTGCAGTATAAAAGGAATAAAATTGGCATGTTTTATTTTGATTTAAAGATGTAACAAAGCCAAAAGAAATCAGCACTTAATTGTTAATTTAAATGAATGTAAACATGTAATTGAGTAAGGCAGTTAGCAACACTAATTGGCATGGCTATTCCGAGGTCATTTTTTCTTCGTATACAGGTAGGTACCACTTCCCACACAATGTCTCTATGAAATCCCTGCAGACAAATGTTTGTCAACCCAAAGCAACACTGAGCCTTTTCCCGAATAACTATTGAAAATACACAGGGAAACCCATCCCTGCTCTTTTCCACTTGCAGACTTAAAATACTACTCCTTCCTTCTCTCTTTACACAGTTTGATAGAACGACGACTCATTACAGTGTTCACGAAAAGTTTGCGAGGAAAAACTTCCAAGCTTTGAAGTAAGCTCGTGTATATCTGTTTTCCATGCTATAGAAAGCCTGAGCTAATCAAAGTTACTCTCATCATCAGTACAGCATTATTCGTGCAAAAAGAGCGGAGGATAAAACCTGAAATGCATGAAAATTTGTCAGCAAGTTTAAACGAAACAAATTCATAATAATAATTCGCCAGTGCAGAGAATTGGGAGATATAGATAAAATAAATTAGAGTAAATATTAACGCAGAATTTCTATACTACTACACAATTCCAAGGGAGAATACCTTGCCATATATTCTTTATTAGAAATAAATTTTAAACGAAAATCAGCTAAAAAATTTTAAATTCAAACAATTTCATGCGTAATTAAATCAAAGTGAAAAATTCTTCACAGCGTACTATTCATTTACAGACTGATAAACAGTAAAAACAGAAAAAATGTGTGGATAAAAAATGCATAAGAAACAAACAAACAGCAATGATAACTGAAAATCGGAAATGAAAAGGAACGAGTGATAGCGAATGATAATGGCAACGAGTAGTGAGCAGGCAAAGCAGTAAAGTAAAGATCGAAAATGGAAGAATAGAACTGAATTTAGATAGATGGATAATTTATATATAGTAAAAGCATTAGTGGAAGAAACTTTGAATTGATAGATAGATGCATTGAACAAATCAGATGGACTACGGAGAGAAAGGCGCAGTAATGCCATCATCTCCGCAGCATATATTTACATACGAAAGTAGTAAATACCAGCAATGGCTGTTCTGTTTGTCGTCTCCCGAAAAGGAAGACGAAGTTTGCAGAGGGAAAGGTTTGGTATACAGTGAGGTCCCTCGAAATAGAGGCGAATATTAAGGGGCAACACATGGTAATGGGCACAAGGTCGCGTAAAATCACTGCTCTTCTGACTTTCCACTAAAAATTTAACGGGCATTTTTTAAACCAAAAATCACAAACTATGTATAAACTCGTTTTATATTAGCATCAGCTATGACTTAAGAGACATCTTAGATATAAATTAGGGTCAAGTAGCTTTCTTCAAGTCTTATTAGATAACTTGCATTTTAGCAGTATTTCTTTCTCATCAAGAAATCCTTCAAGTCATTCTTTATCATCTGGTCAAAAAATTTTTCTACTCACAAAACAGAATGAGTTTATTTTCCACAAAACAAAAAGTCAAGAAATGATCTCAAAAACTTGTTCATTTTACAGTAAATTATTTCCTCACTAAGTAACAGCATCACTCATTAAGAAGCTAATTATCAACCAATTTATAATTTTTCGTACTATCGATTCTAAATCACTTTGTTATACAATTTAACACCCATAAATTACTGGAAAGAAAATCAGTTCATTACGAAAATAAATTTGATTGAATTGAAAAATTGAGGCTGCGAGATACGTGCAAAAACAGCTAGCATTGAAAAACACTGCTAATATAACCTGTGAATATTTTATGTCTTCGCTTACTTGTAATACTTTATTTAATTTCGTTATTGTAATATTCTTATTATTCTTATCAGTCACTGTCAACAACTTCAATGCTAGACAGTGAACGACGAAGATAATAGTTATTCTCTTAATTAAAAACCCATGTTGCTTTGCTTTTGTGTTTACGGGGAATTTTAGATGTTTTGATATTTGATGTGACTGAAAAAAAATCTTATCAAGAAATTACGTTCTTCAGAAGTACAATTTATAGACTACAATGACTTCGTTTTTAAAGTGATAAAAAATAAGAATAATTTAAATAAAAGTTGAAACTTCATAATAACTTTAAACTTTTTTCTACGAAGATTTGAAAATATGAGTCAAGTTATTATACCTATAAGCTTCTATAATCCTAGATAAACTTTGTTATTATTCCTTTAGTAACATAGGAGTAATTGCAACAGCAGTATCTGCAATCTAATTAAGAAAACTATTGCTACTTGTTTGCGCAGAAAAAATATGCACAACAATAATGTTTTTCTTTTCTATAAACTAAATAAAGATTATCTTTACTCTGTTTACGTCCCATTATTATACACAGTTTTTAGCTTCGCTTCGCTTCATTACATTGTTCTAATGCAGACTCGCACCAAACAAAAGACGGTTGAGACTTTGACATCACAATTGCAAATTTCAATGTGCTTCACAAGGTAAAAAATTGTTACCAAATTCGGTACCTTAAATTTATCGTTGACAGTAATGTGCATCACAAATGAAACTGCATATCTTTCCATTCTGGCTAGACATTTTCATCTTGCTAACTTCCTCTCTCATAAGTCAAAACTCTCCCACATATATTGCTTTGACTTCTTGCTCACATACGCTTCTGCAGGAGGCTGCAAATTATTGCATGTATGTCATTTTTGTGAGCTGATAATGAAAAAATTAGTTTTGCTTTTTTCTTGTACTCCAACAGTAAGGATAAGATTGAAAATAAATCTGCCCATATTAGCAGTGAAATTGTTTTTTACAAAATAACTCGAAAGTAAAGACAGAATTGAAAACTTGAAATTGAATGCTGCCAAGAGGAATAATGTATGCAACGAACTGAGTATAGTTTGTTCGGTGAAGTAGAGCAGAATTAATCGAGAAAGTTCAGCATTGCATCCATCTCGGATGACGCCTTTCACCTTGTTGAAAACCGTTACTACTAATACAAGCATCAAACAACTCTTCTACATTGCAGTCCATAGATAATCATTGATTAGATAAGAAGTAAACAAAGTCCAAAAAATATTTTCAATGACCAAATGAGAGAAATCTGTTGGCTGATTCTAGCACATATAATGTTGCACATTGCAATGGAAACGCTTTACAAACAGTACACAGATCAATCAGCAATTCCCGATATTTTCACATATTGGTCAATAATTTTACTCTCAGTTGTCACCTCTGAATGTGACCGCCGACTTTTGAAGATCATGTTCTTGATTAAATGATTGATTATATTGTTCACGATTCTTCACTGAAATGAAAATGTTGTTGCACTGTCACTGAATTAGAAGTTAAAGATGAATTTTACACTGATGAAATGTATAAGATTAAGATATGACTTTGCAATGATATCAGTAAAGCCACACTTTTATTTTTCATGTCATTGTTCAAAATGACAATAATAATAGCAGTAAAGATAGTACTGATGATGAGTTAGTCATCAGTGATGAAAACAGTTGTGATGATAAAATGACAATAACAATAAATCTAATTGCTGTCAGCAAAAAAATAGATAAGATGATGGAGTGTTTGGAGTTACTACGCAAATCTTAAAGCACAATTACTATCATAATTAATACTTTAACAGTATCAACAATATACCATTCATGATCACTTCTACCATTTATGATTATTATTATTAATAACAATAATATCATTATCATTAATTATTATTTATTTTTGCTTTATTATTATTATTATTATGATTATTGTCATTATTATTGTAATTATTATGATCATAAAAGTGCAAGTTCTAGCAATCAATAACAATAAGATACAAAGAAAATAAATATTAATAACGAAAACGACAATACGATAGTTTACAAGTCACATTATCGACACCCGAGTGTAAATGTTCTGAAAAGACGAAACGAGTTTTGTTGAGCTACCTGACGGTCATAATCAGATGGTAGTGAATAATATCACGTTTGCAAGTTCTGAATAATACAAATTTTGAAGGCATAGAAATTATAGAAATTGAAAGCTAAAAGGAATCAGATTTGATTTAATGTTTACGCCAGTTGCAGTGTACGACCCATGTTTATTAGCGTCAATAAAGTGTGACCGGATTTTCAGTTTCATAGTGAAAAAACTCTTACTCAACTTCAGGAGATTATTTTACCACTGCTAGCTATTCAGGTCTAAAGCTTCAGGAAGATCTCATATTGACGCTGATTGTCGACAAGTCAGTTTTCGTGAAACTGACTTGTCGACAATCAGCGTCAATATGAGATCTTCCTGAAGTAAACATTTTTCCAAATTAACAAAAGGAGAGAGAATCAATCAATAACACATACTATATAAAGATAATATCACAAAAGGAACTTCACGCCGCAGATTTAGAGGATCATAGTTGAGATTGATTTACTAGGATTATTGAGGAATCAATAATGTAATTACAATCTATTTTTCATTTCAACCGCCACGCATATTACACAAAAATAAAATAAATGAAGATATGTACGGCACATAATTCTTACATACGTCAGATACACTTTTGCTACAGCAAAAAAACAATTTTTAATGAAAATTCTAACTGCTTTACCAATCTTTCTACAGAAATGTCTCCTTTCTTTTTTTATTACCGTTACTTTAAAGATTTCCGAAAGTCTCAGCAATCATATTTCGATTTCTCAGCTAATAATATTGTTCAAAATAAATTATGCATTCCTTTCTAAATAGTTTGCAGTAGCACCAACTACAGCACCAGTTACATTAATTCTAACATTAATTAGCGTTACCCTGGGATTGCAAAGGCTTCAAAGAAAGCCTTAAAAATATTAAATTTAGGGCGAAAATGATCTCCTCAAACTTTTAATCCCTCAATAATTCACTCAAAGATAGATGTAAACTGTAATAAAACTGCTCATGACTCTTAATGCAGTGTTGCACATTTCATGCCACCCTTTACGACAAAACTGGTATTGCTCACTGAAAACGGGAGAGAAATGATTACAATATTTATTCATGCTTCTATGTACTAAATTACATACTGATATAAAGCGTCATATTCATATCAATTAAATAAATCGAGGTATAAGGCTCTTCCAAATATCATACCAGAGCACTAAAAATTACTCGGGAATAATACGGCTTTACAAAGAAAAGGCCTGTTACTATTTACGCATTTCATTATTGCTTTCCTATATCTTTTACATTCAAGAGTTCATAAAGATCTCACATTTTCAACATTTTGCTGTGGCTGAATTATTTATTTACAACTGAACTAGCAATAGTAAAATCAGTAAAACAACACTAAGATGTCTGAAAACTGAATAGCCGAACATGAATTCAGTGCGATAAAACTTGAATTTCAATAATATTCATAGTTTTGGAAAGTCTTAATGTGTGATTCAAAATCTCTGAAGCCAGAATTTTTTCTCCAACGAAACATTAAATAAGAACCTTGATATGCAGTTTTGCGAGAATCATCTTTCACAGTAGAAAAACAAAAAATTTTCAAAAATGACTTACTGTGAAACTATGATCAGAGGTAAACAATTAAATACATCATTACCAAATTTAAAAACACTATTGACTTACAAAATTATGTCACTAAAACTGCAAAAAATGAAATTCAAAGAAATCTACCCTCTGTGTTACTGAGCGAAAACTTTTTCGCTTCAGTAAAAAACTGTTTTCACGAGTCTTATTTCAAGAAATACACTTTAAAAAATACACATATAACCTTTCATATACGTGAGAGTGTAATTCAGTTTTGGAACGAATTTCTGACCTATATACAATTCAATTTTTTGTACATTCATTTTATTTGACTATTTCAATATTACTTGAATCAATTAAACGACTTCGGAGTCAGAAAAATGTGGTGCTGACCATATCGGAAAGATACCACTCCGTAATAACACGTACGACATATACCTGACTAAAATTTATTAAGTACATTACAAATGCAAGTGTAGAAATTTGATTTGTCAATAAAGTAATTTCGAAACAAACATTTTCTTCCCATGCAAATTATTCTACTCTCTCATTTTAATGTGAAAAAAATTGCATAAAAACTCACTCGAAAATCATCCATAACAGCAAATTTTTTAGCTAATGCCTTGAAATCAACTGAAGCCGCATAAAATAAACGGACTTTATTCGGCAAAACAGTACCATTGGAAAATCTTCCTTTGAGAATTTCATCTAAATTTGCGGGAACTGCTCTACAAATAAACCAATTAATCTATTCTATTTTAAATAAACTTACATAGTGCACAGCAATAAAAGTCAATTTTAGGTGAAATTATTTTTACTACGTTTATTTCTTCCTTTAACATGGGAAAAATGATATAAAACATAATTAGTAGGCAAAAATGTTTTGAAGAACATAGAACAAATTCTTAATGAACTCTGACTTTATGAGTGATCAAATAATACTAAACATTCAATTCTCATCATCACAAAAGCACTCACTCGAGAACAGAATTCTTGAAAGCACGATCATAATTTTCTTTTTTTAGATAGGACAAATTAGCTTGCGAGAAATTGTAGAAATTCGCATTGAGCATTATGTGTTTCAAGTGCTTTTCAAAATACATACCTCTAAAACATACAAAAAAAATCAAACATCATTATTTATTTTTTAAGTGAAAAAAGTGAACTACATTTGTCTTTTTTTTCATACAGCAGCGGATAAAAACTGACTTAAAAGAATAAGAAAATTCTCCAACAATGCAAGCTATAATTCTTTCCCAACAACTGAAAGCACCAACATCTTGCTTAGGATATATCCATAAATTCATCCGTTTTCCGAATTTGGTCAATCATTTTTATTCCCGAAACCCTATTCACATATCAAAAGGCACAAAAAAGATGAAATGACGCACTTACTGACACCTTTTTTGCCTCTTACACTGATACCTGTACGTGATACCTCTGGTCTTATACATGATCGTTCCATACGTTGAGCAGATTCACGCATCCAATCATCCCAAAATGTTTCAGGCCATTTTATTCTGAGTTCATTCCACAAACGAAACGTGAGCATCCAACCAAGACATAAAATTTATTATGTCAAAAAATTCTTCTCTTAATTTGATAATAATTTAATAATAATTTATTGCACTGAACACAAAGTTATTTAGCCATCTAAAGCACTGAATTACAAATAAATCTTAATACAATTATGAGGTCAGGAGTTTTATGTATTGTAAAATGCATGTCTAATGCATCAAATCACCTGGAAAAAAATCAGTACGATGCAATAATGAATTATTATTCACAATAAGTTGTTCCTTTCCATTATCATTCCAAGCTGATATACACCAAACTGTCGGATCTTCAAACAGTAACTTTTTAGCTGCCACCATATATTCCAAAAAATCTGGAGCGAGCATCAAATCATCTAAAAATTGTAATTTACACGAAAAAACATAGCCTTTACCATGTTGATAAAGTAAAAAGTTCCATCCAGCAAAAAAATGCATTGATATGATTTGCTGAAAAAATTAAATTTTAGGCGCAAATGATTCCTTTCAAACAGCTCATAAATTATAAGTTAGAACATGAATTACAAGGATCATATACTACTTTTTTGATGATACGAAATCAAATTACATATTTTTGATACATACCGTTTATACCAGTTTTAATTATTCGCTGTAAATTATGTTAATGCTTAATGCAATTAAATATTTGATCTCATCTAAAAACCAGCCCAAAAATTGTGTTCTACTTTGTAAACATGGACAACAGTAAGACCTAATTAATGTTTTACTTGAGTTTTTTTTTCTTAGTAGATAATCATTTCGTATCAAAAATATGTAAGTTGCAAATTAAAAAGTTACCTTCTGTCACAATAACAGTACGATATCCTAATACGGTAAAAACGTAATCCAAAGCAAAACGATAATGTCTTGCAATCCGATAATATCCTTCATACTTTTTATTCTGTTTAGTTAAATTAAACGAAGACTGGTCTGGATTTTCAATCATTGTAATATTTTGGCCCGCAGTAATAACAACATCACGAGTTCTCTCATCATTGCAATCAAGACTAACAACAACTGGAATCTTTGGGCCCTGCAGGCTGCAAACCAAAATTATCTTTCGTAAGCAGGATACTGTTATTCAGTTTTTTAAATTCGTATCGATTCTACAGAACTAACAAAAAAGAAAAACGCGAAAACTGGTGATCAATAAGCTTAAAATTTTTATCTAATTTAGCCCTCCTGATACAAAATTCAAGTATTCAACAGCTATCCCTTTCAAAATTTAGATAGCGGCAAATAAAAACTGTCTCTATTGATTATAAATAAATATAAAAATAAAATGTGGAGGTCATTTTTCGTTTTTGTTTTATTAGTTCTGGCGGTGGATCGCATTCCGGCACTCTGACTGTACTTTTCCCACGCTCAAATTTGTTTATAATAATTATAATTATTTATTATTATTATTGCTATTGTTATTATTATAACTTATTTATTTACATTACTTATTATTCATATTAATACGTTTGAATGAAAAAAATATTATTATCATTAAGTTACGGTGATCAAAATTTAAATGAAATTAAAAAAAATCGTACTTCATTAGAGTTTCAAGATGTTCTTTTAATGCTTCAGAACGATTGCATGCTATTACTAATACGACCGTATCTAAATTATCGCCGCCAATCAAAACATTCCGAACTCGTTGCAAATCATTTGACAAACGATAAACCACAGCCCGAATACGTGATTTCAACTGTTGACGACGATAACATAAATCTTGAATAAGTTCATAGTCCTAAACATGAGAAAAAACATAATTTGAAAGAACACAGGAAAAAAAATCTACTATGTTACCGATTAAATGAGTACAAAAATTGGATTTTAAAATAATATTAAAACAAACTGCGAAGAAATGATAGTTTTTCTTGAAATTATTATGGTTTGGATTACTGGAGACGTTTCTTATATCAATATTATGCATACATATAAACTACAGTTTCAATTTTATGAAGAATAAAGGTCTGTACTCACCGTATTGAAAGTTGTTGTGCTGAAGATATGTTCGAAAATAATCAAAATCACAGATATACCAAAGATGTAAAAAATAGAGGAATGAAACCTGCGCATTCTGATCCAACAACAACAATTTCATCTTTTTTCATCAGCTTTCAAATATGCATGTACCTAAGAACGTGTACTTTCAAAATGGACTGTCGAAGATATGATAAATGATGAGCAGGTTGCTATTTGAAGCCTATAACGTTGGTAAACTAAAATTTTAAAACTAGTTTCTATCAGTACATTCAACTATAAATGGTACCTGTCATCAGTGGTACTAATCCGCTGTTTACTTTTTGATTCTCTGTCATCTTCACAACTGCCTTTTTAATCTTTCTACAAAAGATAATAATAATGTTGTAGGCACAACTTACTTTGTCTCAAACCACCACTTTTCAATGAAATGAGTGAATAAACTGAATAAGCAAGGAGAGATGCACTATGTGAAACATAGAATAGTGATAATGTGAAATATTTGCGTAGTTAGCATTGCATGAATGAAATTCAAAAATGCTTGATTACTAATACATATGGAAAAAGAATAAGAAAACTTTTGTGTTGAATACGCTCGGATGAAAAACCAATTGATCAACGCTATGCTTACTACAGAAATAAAATGGTACCAACAGCTTTTTCTCACTAGTGAATGTGAATAATCAAAAGCCATACTAATTTCCTTTCTTGAGTCATTTGAAAATGGAATTTTGGCAAATGATTGATACGTGCGAATAACTTGCGAATTTCCAATGTTATAATGATAGCTATAAAACTATCATAAATCAAATACTTTAATTTGTTCTAAGCGCAGCCTTGGCTATACTTCTGTACTTCATAATAATACCCCTAAATCAAATCAATGGTCACAGCACAATTCCTCCATCCCCAAAACGTACAGCTTCCGAATCAGATTACATTCTACTGAAAAGCGAAAAAAGACGTTCTTAATTCATCTTGAAAGAATTACATCTCCAGTTAGCAACTATTTCCATTATGATTTCATTAATAAAATCAGCTTTTTTGTATTACACACCAATTTTTTCATTTTATTCCCTATCGAGAGGCACTTGATCTGAACAACCATTTTTTTACAGTACAGGAAGGATGGAGAAGACGATGAAGAGTGGAAAAAATTCAGCGGTAATGTATAAATATTTCATGAGCAATCTGTTAATGATTAATAAACAGTAATTTTGCTATAGCTTCTTTGTAATAAAGACTCAGAAGGCAGGATATACTCAAATGTAACTGAAAATTCATGTTGACAAGTGCAAAACATTACAAATTTTTATCATCACCAAAGCGAATGACTAACTAGTGAATGCATCACTCGCATTTTCATTATAACTCACTTTCACTTTGGTTTCACACCATACTCTATGAATCGAATTTATATTTCTGATCTCGAGCAAATAAGCTTGCAACGTGTAACATAACGTCTACCTGAAACTGGAAGATAAAAAATATACAGCTCCGTCCACTGATACAGCTAATCTAATTAATCATAGACTTTTTTAACGCAAAAAAATAAAAAGCTAACGGCGAAATTAGTAGCTTTGTAACACAAATCGTTAGTTCTGGAAAACTCAGAAAAGCAACAGAGGAAATCACGCAAAAAAAGACTGATAACATGTGCGTTTAGTAAATACCGAAGTGTAGCTTTAAATGGGCTCGGAACGATTTGAGTAACGAAGAGGAGAGGGCACACTTTAGATGAAAATAAAATATTTGCTAATTAATAGTATATTTGCGTCATAAAATTGCCAAAAAATGTTTGTCAAGGAAATATACGACACTAAGAGTTATTTGCACAAATGAAGTAGCTTGAAGAGAAATAGACATAAAAAAGGCATGGTTGGCGATTTTGCACAAAAATTACAAATCTCTTATTCAGCAACATAATATAACGCACGTGTTATTTGCAATTATTCTGGCGGGCACGTCACTAGTGGACCGCGTTAAATTAAAACCTCACAAATTATGTCAACAAAAAGTTTGGTGAGCATTTGTATTGATTGTGTGTCTTTATGGCAAAGTAATGCTTTAGCGAAAGCGACAGGTGATGAGGCTTAACGTGGTACGGTTTTTGATCATGTATAATATTCGTGGAAATGCTTTGAATTTTTCAAGAAATTTCTTTTTTATTATTGCGCTGCACTGCGAAGTAGTAAATTTATGGGTTTGTTTATGTTTTCTGAGCGCTTGCAATCTGCAGTCTGCGATCTGCGATCTGCGATCTGTACAGACTTTAATTTTAATCTTGCAGAAAGCAAACTTCTCTTAAAGTACTGTGTGAGAGACCCTTGATTTTGCACATCAGTCACAGTTGCTTAGAGTCAGAGCGTTCATCAACCTTCTTTTTATCCCATTGAAGCTGATTTTCGAGTTTTACTGTTTTTCTTTTGGTCCTTTTTGGTTCGCTTATTGGTAGTAAATTTGCAGTTGGCTCTGAAGCTATTATCAAATGTGCGTATTATTGCTAACTGCGTTATATCTTCAATCCGAAAGTATTAAAATCTAAATAATTAGAAAAATTTGTATTATCTCTTCTCAGAAAGTCCGTTTATACGATATTTATTTGGCAATTACATGTGCTGTATAGAAATTTCCTTGCTCAGAATAGATGCTTTGTTTTATTTCTTTACATGTTAAAAGAACCGTGAAATAAAATTGATCAGTTAATGATTTCTGTGTATCTTTTGATTTAGTTTTTCTGTTCATTCAAAATAAGTTGCTTGCATCCGGTCGTCTTATGCTTCAGATGTTATCATTAATGAAAATCTGTTGCATTCAGTTGCTCAGTGTTAGAGGATTAAACGTCAGTGTTTTAATGTACATCCGAATTTTCAGGGCATTAAATCGGGCATGTATAGTGAACATTCAGATTTTAATTTTGGTCCCACATTTGAAATAAACGAGTCTGAGGATGCTATAACTTCATTTGAAGAAAGTATTCGAAAGCAATTATATGACTTGAAAATTAATAGTACAAGAGGTTATCTTTTTTGGTTCGCTTCCCATCCACTTTCAGATGTTAGAAATGAAAGTTTGCTAGCAGTCTCTGATATGACTAGTTAGTGTTCAGCCTTTAAAGTGTTCTTATGTAGTTTTTAAAGAATCTTGTTGTTCGACAATTATTATTAATGCAGAAATTATTCTTCCACCAATGAAAGTTTGGCAAAGAACTATTGTGCATCGTTCAGCCAGGCATTTCGGTCTAAATTCTTATAGTATTGGGTAAGTTATTAACATCAGAGAATTTTTATTTTTTTATTTTTTGCATTCTTCAGTTAACACTTTTCATTTAAATGCAGAAAAATGAAAGATTTGTTGTCGTTCATTCATCTGCTATTTAAAAAGAATAAAATCTAGAAGTTAAGTTCTTACTACCATTTAATATGTAAAAAGAGTTAGGTTGCAGTATATTTTAGAAGTGGATGTAATCGTCGTGTTGTTGTTTTGCGCTTTCCATATGTCGATTTATGCACATATACAAATGCAAAAGAATCGGAGCCTATTGTTTTGAATAAATTTCAAAAACAATCACTTGCTCAGTTTTTAACTGCATTTCCATTGAATTATAGTGACATCGAACTGTATCTTCGGTCTGGCATTGCTTGTACGTTTACATTTGATCGAAAAGGTTTTCCTTTCTTTATGATGCAACTTGCTTATCAAGCAAAATTTATCTACCCGTGTATTGTTTTATTTTGTTTGTTGTGTATTATTTTTTAAGACACAGTTATTGTAATTGTAAAAAATTCATGTTTTTTGAATCTGAGACTTTCTTTAATTAAAATTTGTATACATCAAATCATACACTGTAAATTTCTGTAAAAATTTTCTGAATTTTTAGTACAATAGAGAATTTCACTGCAATAGTAGCTCTATTTCTTTCTGCATTTATTTATTTTTCTGTTCCACAAAATGTGATAGCATGTCTTTGTGATGTTTGTAATATTCATTTATGGCATGGATTTTTTATGATATCATATTCTTCATTCATATCCTTGTTTTAGCTCGATCGGTCAATGGTCGTTGGAATGTTAGTAGCAGACCGATGTTAATTCCGCCTTGTACATCTAAACAGCCCTCAATTGAAAATTTTCGAAGAAGCTTGCCCACTTATGCGATGCGGAAAGAAATTTTGAAAGCCATTCGAAATCACAAAGTTACGATGATTGTTGGTGGCACTGGATGTGGCAAAACAACACAGGTAAAAAAAGTTTGCTTTTTATTGATGTTACTTTAATAATTTTTATTTTATATCAGTTTTACATTTCATTAGTTTAAATATCTAATTGCAAAACAGGATAACACATTTTTGTAGTGTGAATAGTCATTCCTCTGTTATTCCTTTTGAAATTTTCATTTTTATTTCTGTTTCTGACTTTAAGATTTTTACTGTAGCAATCTTTCCAACATCAAAGATTTTTACTATGAGAATCTTTTCAAGATCCCTCAATTCTTACTCGAAGATGCTGCTGAGCGACAACAAAAAATTCGGATATTTTGTACTCAACCTCGACGATTACCAGTTTTAGCAGTATCTGCACGTGTCGCAAGGGAACGGAATGAGAAATTGGGATCGACTGTTGGTTATCACATTCGATTGGAGCAGAAGTATATTGCATTATCTTTAAATTACATTCAGATACATTCATGTTTCCTACCATCTTTCATTTAGTATTTTTCTCATTTATAAAAGTCTTTCATGTTTTCACTTTGATTCTTGATTACTTGAAGAGTTTCGGAACAGACTGTATTAACATATTGTACCAGTGGAGTATTATTACGAATGATGACGAGCGACGTTAATGCAAGCAATATTTCGCACATTATTTTGGTATATAATTAATTTATTTAAAGTTCTTTCAGAATCTGTGTTTTTGAATTGTTCCTGTAGAGAAAAATAATTCTTTGATTTTACATAGTTTGTAGTTGCAATGAACATGGGACTGTCAGAAAAATTTGATTTGAAATATTTTTGAAATCATGACTGAAACCAGAATATTAATTAAGGTGTTTTACATTCTTTGAATATTTCAGTTTTAAAAAAAAAGTTGTTTCACTGTACGGGTTTAAAAAAATATGATGTTAAAGGATGAAATTCATGAACGAGAGCAGAAAACAGACTATCTTTTGATTGCCCTTCGAGAAGCTCTAAAAAACCGAAGTGATTTAAAAGTTAGTTGTTGCAGTTGACAATTTTTTGACGAATAACCAATGCAGAGGAAGTATAAGATTTTGATAGTTTAGGTAATTTTGATGTCAGCAACAATGAATGAAAGTCGTAGTTTGTTTAAACGTTATTTCGGTCAAGGAAATGTTCTCTGCTTAGAGAGTTAGTTTTTTATCTGGAATATGTTTCAAATATGTAACTTTTGAATCTTTCATATGATTAAGTGCACTGAAAGTCGCCTTTACTTTGCTGTTTTTTGTTTCCAGTACCATCTACATTGCACAGAGTAGAAATGTTCTACTTACCGGAAATATTGGCATTGACAGATTACAAACATGCATCATCGTTTACTGGTGGCACATTCTTTGGTAAAACTGCCAGAAGTTTAAATGATAGTGCAACTTTTAATAGGTGGCGTTTCGTTATGTAGTGAATTAGGAAGTTTTGCAGTATGTTAGATATTTCTAGTGTTTCTAGATTATTGGAATTGGGCTAAAGTATAAGCTGAAAAAGCAACTTTCATTAATGCTATAGTAATTTCCACTATGTATTATTTAACTGGCAGAGTGTCAAAACAGTTATTTTCACTATTCATTTTATATTTTTAAATAGTATTTATAACTCTCATACCACTTATTTTACAGTTTTCCTCAAGTTGATGAATTCCGTTCTGAAAATTTTGATTATTCGAAAACGCCAAGTCGTCGAAGTGGGAAAAAGAAAGTAACCACTTTCTAGTTCTTCACTCTAAGCAAAATATTTTTCAATTCTGATTTTAACAAATTAATGTGCTACCTTCTTTACGTATGGCACTTTGTTCTTATCAGGTATGGGGTTTAGGGCAGAGATGAAGTAACCTCTGGTTATGAAGTTACACTTTCACCATCAGTTCCATTTTTTTCTGGTGCAATCGATCAGCAGTATCCGCTCAGTTCATTATCTTCAACAGCATTTACTCAGTTCAATAATCATCAGTTATATTCGCAGTCAGTTTTTCACCTTTTTTAAAAATCAGTTACTTCTACTCTATGCCGATAAAATTCTTGGTTTTGAAATATTTTATGCAGTCTACACCTAATTAGCTGAAAATTTTTAAGATAACGAATACTAAATTTAATTATAATTGTATGGGTTTGTGTATTTCATAATGATATACTCTTTGTTTGTGTTGGACCATATTGTAATGTAAATATTTTCAAACTTTAGTTGCTGATAAATATGCTGTCAAAAACTCTTTGTGCAGAGAAAATTTCATCTAAACCAGATAAAAATGCTTGTTTTCAGAATTTCCGTAAATTCCCAGCAAGGAAAAAGTTCATGCATGAGTTACAATGGTAATTTTCAAAATATTTGATTTTACTACAAGAAGTTTTTTTTCATATGAAGGATGTTCATATTTCTAACCATTTTCAGGTCAATCAAATTTAACAGATATGTATAACAAAATGAATATCGGTAGTAATGAACAGAATAGCCCATATCAAGAACCAGCAATTTATGACGGATTTCAGGTGCAATTTTAGCAAAGTAGAGAGCAGTGAGGATGACGGATTAAATTTGTTAACACCTTTGAACTCCCATTCATTTTTCACCGTTGCTTAAATATATTTCAGATTCCTTTATTTTGTATTTAAATAAGTATTCACATATATGATTTTTATTTTTCATTTCTAGGTTTCTAATTATTCTTATCCTCCTCCCAATTATGCTTATGCAACTCAAATCCTATCCAATTCATATGGTATGATGGCAACTTGTGACAGACCCCAAATAACGCACGAAACATATCAAATGATGCCAAGCGATTGCCAAATTTATCATCCTACTACGGTATTTTTAAGAGGTGTATGATGACGTTGATAGTTAAGTTTAAAAAAAGATAGCTTGCGAAATTTAGGCCTTTAGGTTTTTTTAAAAATGAACTGAGCAGAACAAAATAATCGTCTCATCTTGGGGTTATTATTCGTCAAATGATCAATTATTAAAAAATGCTCGAAAGAGTTCAATGTCTTTCTGTATTTTTTGTGTTCTTTTCTTGCCTACTTCATAAATATTTTGATTTTACAGGAATACCTGCAATTTCCTAAGTATAATATACCTTTAAATAAGAACGATGGATGCGGTAAACAGCGAACTCCAAATAAAACAAATTTTTGCAATCAGAGGTCATTTCTTAAGTCTCATTAAATCCTTTATTGCATTCACTGCTTCAAAAATAAAAATGCACTCATGTTCTAATTTGTACCTTGTTTTTATTTCTCATCACGGAAGTAAGAAAGTGCTATTTTTTTAGAACATCATCGTTCCCAACATCGAACGCTGGTCCAGTACATCGTGATGCAGTATGTTCTAATAGCTTTATGTTTGGCACTTAATGTTTTAAAGGATGTACCTCTGTTCTAATTTGCTAAGGAGCTGAAAGAAGAATAGTCGTAAAAATCGTTTGCTTGGTTTTTCACGTTATGTTGTGATGTTCTTTCAGTTTCTTTGTAACCAGAAATACTATGTATCTAATTTGCGCGATCGACCACCTTATTTTGATCCATTATATGTGGAAGTTTTGCGACGTACAAATTTAGACACAGTTTATTTAGTTGATGTAAGTTATTAATTGGTATTGTTTCTATCTCTGGCAAAAAATTTTTATGCCATGGAAATAACAAAACGACGAAGAATTATGTTGAAGTATTCGATGCATATTTAAATCATTCTAACTTATTCGTTACCAAAGTTCTAAATATGACTTGTTACTATTTTTAATGTCGTTTAACAATTTGCAAAACTGTTTGCAGTCATACATGATGTCTGGTGGTGAACAGTGGTCAGAAAGTGTTGATATGAATTTAACAGTAGCTATCATCTCTTACTGTATGGATAGTCCTGTTCTCGGTATTGTTTTTCCTAATATTTATATTTAATATGATACGTCGTACCAATATTGTTTTGATTATGCTCAATTAAAAATGAAGAAAAGATTATTGATCGATGCATGAACTACATACTATTTTGATGAGCTGAACTCTTAAAAGTTATTTTTAGGATCGATCCTTGTATTTTTGCCCGGTTATGAAGATATTTTAGCCGTTCGGGAAAAAGTCATTAAAATGGTGGACTGCTGTACACGACCTGCCGTTTTTACTCTCCATTCACAAATGAGTAGTCAAGATCAGCAACGAGTATTTGACCCTGTTGGTCACGGTTATCGTAAAGTGGTGCGTAAAAAATATACTGTATTTTGCTTATGATTTTATTTTGTACATTCCTTTATTTTCATTCTAATTAACAGTTGGCTTTGTATCAGTAGGATCTTTGCATCATTTTTTCTTCGAAGTGAAACAGTAACAGTTATTCATTTCTTTGAAAGTTTATTAAATACTAACTTCAGCATTCAAAAAAAAAATGAGAAGAAAGTTTACAGTTAGTTTGATTTGCTTATATCTAAGCTTCTTGCAGATTTTGAGTACAAATATTGCTGAAGCAAGTTTGACGATTGATGATGTCATTTTCGTAATTGACTGTGGTAGAGCTAAAGAGGTAGGATCTGTAATGTGGTATATTTTTTTGATTGTAATCGTAGTAGCTTAATATTTTCACGCTAATTATCTACTAAGTAAATTAATCCTTCACTTTCATTGATTTCTAAGCTTGTTTGCGTTTACACAATACGAACTGCACTGAAAATTGTAAACCAATTCTTTATTGATTGTGCCTATTAAAAGTTTTCTGAGTTACAAATATATAAGTTCTTCTAATCGCGACTTTCTTTCAGAAAATTTATGACCACTCAACTCGTGTAAGTCAACTTAGAAAAACGTGGATAGCAAAGTCAAATGCTGAACAACGAGCTGGTAGAGCTGGCAGATGTCGGGATGGTTTTTGTTTTAGAATGTACACAACAGAAGATTATGCAAGAATGGATCCAATTCAAGTTTGATTTTTAACTAATATTAAGACTGAAAACGGAACATTGATTTGCAAATTGAAATGAATTTTATAGTTACCCGAAATGAAGAGGAGCGCTATATATGAAGTGTGTTTACATGCCAAAATGTTCGCTCCAAAAAGATATTCAGTTCGACAATTTTTACTCAATGCTCCAGAACCACCTTCTCCTCTAGCAATCGATCAAAGTATCAAATATCTTGAGGTACCTCATTATATTATTGGTTTCGAATTTTATTTTATTCCTCCTTGTTTTCAGGACGTTCTCTTGTTAACATATAATAATGTAATTCTGTTTTGTAAAGCGTTCAAATTTGTGCATATTTTCATCATACATTATTGAGATTTCATGTATAATTTGTAGCAAATTGGGGCACTTTTCAAAAACCGACCAACCTCATCACAAATGTCCCATTCGGAGAATTCTTGTTCTGAAAATCCGTGGGCTCAAAATATTGAGCCGGATTTAACTGATCTTGGATGTTATATTGCTCAACTTCCACTTTGTCCACAAATGGCTCGGTTTCTGCTGTTCGGTATTTGCTTGAAATGCCTCAGTCCTGCATTGACGCTTGTTGCTACTTTATCTCATCGTGATCCTTGTAATTTTTTGATCTTAAAATATTTACTTGTCATGATTTTCTTCACAGCGCATATAATTCAATATTTACATGAATTTATGCAAAAACCTTTTTAAGCTGTGGTTAGTGCACATCTTAGTTAATTTTACAGGAATTTCTGCTGACATTAAAAGTTGTATGTTCCGTAAAATTAGGTTATATGATGTTAACTCAAGTTTTTTGATCGCTTTATGTAGTCAAAATATAAAAATGGCTAATCTTGTTACCAGCACATTGGAATTAAAAGTTTTTTGACCAAAAAATTTATGTTTTAGTTGTACTACCAAGTGGTGGTCGTGAAGAACGAACTGCTGCAGTTTTAGCACGCGATAAATTTGCTGGTTTTGATTACTCTGATCATATGACATTTTTAAGGGTATATAATGCGTTCATTAAATTACCAGTTCATAAACAAATGAATTTTTGCATGTCTAGATATTTGTCTCTCAATGCGATGCGAATGATCGTTGCTATTCGGTAAGTAAATTGATTGACACTGATTATTGCTTGTAACATATGGTTTGTGATATTTTTCAGACTCTCTGCCTTTCCTTTTTATTTGCAAATTTTTTGTTTTACTGAAAATAGCATCGTATGACATGTTAAGATTTTTTTTGTGCTCTTACAAGAGTTTTTTTGTTGAAATAGATTTTAATCTGCTTCCTGATAGATCGGTTAATTGTTGCAGTGATGGTTTTTTGTGGTGAAAGTTGTTAGTAGCCTATGAATGCAAAAATATTATAATAAAGGTCCAAATAAGATGACTGCAGTTTTTGCAGTTATGCTTGTTTTTATTAATGCGATATATTTGTAGGCAGCAATTGTTTTTGGAATTACAAAAACTTCGTCTGTTACCCAACAGTTGTCTTTCTCCAGATGACCCGGATTTTAATCGATATAGTGATTCATGGCCAATGATTCAAGCATGTATTGTATCAGGCAGCTATCCTGGCATTGGTTTTACACGTTCTGGTGGTCAGATGCGAAAGATACGTACAAGGTAAGTTTTAGGGAATTTTTTTAGCTTCTAATTTACACGAGATCAAAAATGATTGCAAAAACAGTGTTGTTAAAATTACTGAAATTAACACTGTTGTAATATTTGTTTTCATGGTCAATAGATTTACGAGCTGAAATGGAATTGATTAACTCCCAGTAGAAAGAGTAGTTTTGTCCTTACTTCTTGTTTATTTGCATTCAAATTTCTACATTTTCATTCTTTTAGTAACGAAGTTGCGTCTCTTCATTTTGCGTCTGCCATCAAAAGACAAACTTCTACAGCTGGAGCAAGCGGTACGATAGGTGAGAGATTAGAGAGACCTGAGCCGACCATACAGTACCTTGCTTTTCAGGAATTATCGAAAATCGGTGATGCATTGACTGTAGGTTATACGATTTAAATTTCTGATACAATTTTCATTTCCATAAACTTATATTTCTCTTACTCCATCGGAACTAAATTAGCAAACTTTTTTCAAGTTGCGAACAGTTACGGCAGTTCCACCTCTAACTGTGTTATTGTTTGCGGGCCCAATTCGTTTGAAACGTGAAGTTTTAAATGACTATTCAATAGGTAAGTCGGTCGTTTTCATTATTTGTCGGAAAAATTTTGTTTTATTTTTTTGCAAAAGTCACTACCGACAAGTTTTTTAGACTTCAAAGTTTTAGTTGGTAGGTTTGAGTTTTAGGTGATGAACTTGGATTCTGTGATGATGAGACAGATTCGAATGTTGATGAATGCGTTTTTGCTCTTGATCCTTGGCTGGTATTTCGATGGAGGTTCGAGGTCATATTGAGCAGATTTTTATTGTAAATTCTATTTAATATACCATGTGCTTCCGAAAATTTTCATTCTCTTTTTCTTTCATTTACAGAACCATTTTCAGGACATGCAGTTGGTGTTAAAGCTGCGTGTAAAGCTAATGACTTATTTTCTCTCTGTAATGAAACAGCCCGATCGGTCGGAAACTGAAGAAGACAAGGTATTTAGAAAAAAAATTTTCTATTTATTTTGTTAACTATGGAATGATAAAATTGAATTGTTTCTTTGGCTTATTTCCTTATTTATTGAACGTGAATTTCTTTTGACAACTTGTTTATTGAAATTAGCTGGAGTAAACGTTTATTATTATTAGTGAAACTATGTTCGAAAATTTTAACTGCAATGTTTTCTTTCAAAAAATTTTTTTGCATCCTTAAGAAATTTAGTTTTTTTTTCACTCTAAAAGCATTCTGTTGTATAATTTTAAGGAATTACTCGCAACAATTAACGAAATTCTAGTGAAAGATCATCGTCGCTCAAATTTTCCAGAATGTCTCGATTTACCTCGATTCCACACACGCTCTCCAAATTGTGTTATTGAAGTATTTTTCATAGTCTTTAACGTTGTCTTTCATTTGTTAAATTGTCTCCAAAATTTTTTTTTTGTAGTTGGCAAATGAGCGCCCTACACGTTGTCGGCAGTATTCAGAAGAGCATAGCGACCAAGAAACCTCTGATTACCTCACTTCTCGAAATCAGCAATCAAAGCAGTGGAATGAAATTTCAAGTTTGAATAATCAAACGAACTTATGTGCTGCATCCAATATGCACTCAACTCAAGTTGAAGAAGGTTCGAGTCTTCAAAATGTTGTCAAAACCTATTTTCATTGTAGTATGAAGTGTCTGGTTAATATGAGAATCTGTAAAAATAGCAATAGCAGTATTTGTCAAAATTTATTTTATTTTTGTAAATTTTTGAAAGTAAATGAATTAGTCACAGGCATTCATAACGACTTGTCTTATCATGCTGTTGCAAAAAATGATGTGGCAGGTGCATATTCAAATGAAACGTCATCTGTCGTTAATATTAGCTCACCATCGCTTCCACCAGAAGATGAACAAGTTTGTGTATTTTAGAATTCATGATTATTTCAGAAAACTTATAAATTTCCTGCAGAATGCCTCTAATGAGATGATTATAAGTTAAGGTTCCTGAAGATCCTTGCATGGGCACATCAGAAGAAATGGACGATAAAAATCGGTCAGTACTGATGACAGATGTGAATGAGACGGAGGAGGATTTAGTGAACAGAGATATGCAAGTGCTTCCAGAAAAAGTAGATAAGGAGGAAATAGAACGACGAGATAATTTTGCGGCAACGGATGATGCAAATATTAGTGATTCAGGGAGGGGACGTAGTAGATATCTGAATCCTTGTCATTTTCGGTCAGAAGATCAACGTATTCGACGCATTTTTCGACAGTTTGTGAACAGATCTAGACCACAAGCTGTACGAGTATCAGATAATGCTGTTGAAGGTTGATGAATTCATATTTATCAATAGCATTTTTTATATGGTGATCATATTTTGAAAGAAATCTTAATAACAAAATCATTTTTTCAAAACAAATAATCACCATGACAAAAAACAAAATTTTTAGTTCATGTTACTAAATCTTTAATTACATACTAAACATCTGATCATTTGTTTTGTTATAAGACAGTGCTATTGTAATTTCTTAATATTAATTGCGAAAGGTGATGGGAGAAAAGTATATTTGTCCTTGAGAAGTAGTTTGCATAACCTTTTCATGATTTCATGAATAACAGTTCTTGTTTTTTTTAATTGTAAAGTTTTGAAATCTTGTAGTGGAAGAGAATCGAAGTGAAGATCAAGGAGGAGTTCGACGAAGGCGAGAGAGTCGCCGCAAAGACTGGTAAGTCTTTTTCCTTTTTTTGTGGTTATTGATATTTATAAAGATTTCCATAAAACTGTATAATTTTATCTCTGAGATTAATTCATAAAATATAAAGCATGCTTAAGTTCATTGGACGTTAGTTTTGCACAAAATCGCACATTTAATCTCCGTTTCTGCACAGCCAACAAAAAGCACATTCTTATTTTTGAGGCACTGGCGAAAAAACTCACCAGCATGTAATGTTGCACCATCAGACACATATCGAATGCCTCGTGCATATTTTAGAGGCGGCGGACGTATGTATTTTTCTTGTATTTTAGACATTGTCATATATCACTAAAAGGAGAAATTATCCATTCAGAAAATTTCGTATATTTTTAGGGGGCAAACCCGATCTTTACCGTGGTCCTGGATTCCATGGTCGCAGAGCACCGAAAAAAGAGTCTAGTTAAATATGTCATATTAAGAAATATTAAAATTGGGACAGACACTTATAATGTAGAATAATGTAGACTTTTAGTTATTCAGTATTACTTTTTTTGACTTTTTAAATTGATTTTGCATGAATATTTGAAAATGCGCTGAGTCTTCAGTCTTTTGTGTATTTACAGCCAAAAATATTTAGCTGAAGTTTCTTTCGTTATCTTTTGTGTTTCGTGCATACTTTCATAATTATAACTTTTAATTTATCCGACTTTACATATCCAGTATTCGTTATCATACAACTAGTATAATCCTGACTCATAAGAAGCCTTGTATTAGATTGGATTGTAAGTCATATTTTAAGACTTGTGCAATTGATTTATTTATTTTCTATTTCAAATTTTTGTTATGTTTTTGGTTCGTTACAAAATATTATTTATTTAACTTTACTTACATTTCGATGTTTTCTATCACTGTCTTTTTTTCAGCCGTATTTCTTTTATTTTCATCCTTCTTTGATTTCCCATTTTTTGAAAATATATATGATATACGGGAATGCACTCATGACTGTTTTTTATTAATACATTAGCAAATTTTACGATTGTTTATTTTGAATTCAGTTTCTGCTAAACACAGGTTGGATTATATTGTTTTATGTTTTATTTTGCAATAGTGGTAAGATTGTGGTACGTTTTTTGTGAGATGATTTTTGTGGAGAGCACCCTGTTTCAGAATATATATTTATTTTGGAATTGGAATAAAAAAATAAATAAATATATATATATA